CAATCTTCAGAGTTTCTTCTGACATCCATTTTGGTCTTTTCTTCCTCTTCTGTCTTTGTAATGACCGTTTGCACTCTTCCTGGATGATACATTTGACATCCTCCCGCAACTCATCTGGTCTTCGCTCATTAGTGTTCAAGGCCTCAAATCTGTTCCTGAGATGATTCTGATATTCAGGTGGGATGAAATCAAAGTCATATTTTGGCTCTTGTGAATTTGGTTTAGTTTTCCTCAGCTTCAGCTTAAACTTGCATATAAGTAGTTGGTGGTCTGTTCCACAATCAGCTCCTGGCCTAGTTTTCACAGCTGAATACAGGTGTACAAATCTCCGTTTCTGCCTCAGTTCTCTTTTTCTCGGGGTATATTCCAAGTAGCGGAATACCTAAGTCATATGGAATTTATGTTCAACTTTTTGAGGAAGTGCCAAATTGCCTTCCAGAATGGTTGTACCATTTTACAATCCCACCAACAGTAAGAGTTCCTATCTTGCCACTCCTCTCCAACAATTATTATTTGCTGTCCTGTTAAACTTTGCCACTGCTATTGCAGTAAGATGGTATCTTATTGTGATTTTTATTTTAATCTCTCTTATTTCCAGTGATTTTGATAACACCTTCATGTGTCTTTTGGCCACCCAAATGTCTTCCTCTGTGCAAAGTCTTTCCATGTCTTTTGCCCACTTTGTAGTTGGGTTATTGGTCTTTTTCTAATGGAGGCCCTGTTTTATATTTAAGTTTACTCCCAAGTATCTCAGCTTGTGGTTGGCTATTGTAAATGGATTGCAATCCTAGTTTCCTTCTCTCTTTTCTCTTCTTACTGTAGAGGAATCCCACTGACTTTTGTGTATTGATCTTGTTATCCTGCCCCTCTACTAAATTGGTCTACCCGGTTTTTGGTTGAGGCCTTGGGGTTTTCTGTGTACACTATCATATCTGTATGCCTATTATTGTATTGCCTGAGCAAGGACCTCCAATACATATTAAAGAGGAGTGGTGACAGTGGGTGTGCTTGTATGGTCCCTGAACGAGCGCGAGCGTGTAAGAATAAATGGCTGCCTCTGTATGCCTCCGAACTATTGACCTCACTTGTTAACACTGCTTCCTACCTACCTAGCCTGCTCTTCTCCAAGTTCGTTTTCTCTTTGCTTAGAACTTGCATTTGGTTGTTAGCTTCAGGTGGAAAGAGTTAAGTCTGAGGCTTTAACAGAATACCAGGGTTGGAGATGTCTTAGGAAAAAGGCCTGAAAATCTGATACAAAACCTCCTCCTCCCAGTCACTTAAACTCTGTAGGACACAATTTTGCCTGGTCACACATGGAGTGGTCATGAGTGGTTCTGGAGTATAATAACTAGTATAAAACATATATGGTGTAATTTGTTCTGTCTTAACTGTGAATGCCTAGAGCATTCTGAACACTTACATTAAAATGTATTTTATCCCCCAAATTGGTCAGTATATAAGAGGCAGGAGAATACATTGTCCTGTTGTTATGTGTCATCGAGTCACCTGCGACTCATAGTGACCCTATGTACACAGCCCTAACCCTGCTCTATCCTGTGTCAATCTCACTGTCTGGCACACCCACTCTGATTACCCCAGTCACTGAATCAATCCATCTCATCCATGGCCTTCCTCTCTCGCGCTGTCCCTCCACCCTTCCAAACATGATGTCCCTCTCCAAGGGCTGGTCCGTCCTTGCAACATTCCCAAAGTATGTCTGATAAAACTTCAGAATCCTTGCCTCCAAGGAGCAGCCTGATTTCACCCTCTGCAGGAGAGACCAGTTTGTTTTCTTAGGAGTCCACAGTATGTTTAAGACTCTTCTCCAGCACCACAACTCAAAGGCATCAATTATTCTATCATCCCTCATCATTGTCCAGCTCTTTGCTGCATAGCAGGTAATTGCGAAGACCGTGGCCTGGATCAGGTGCACCTTAGTTTCCAGACTGATATCATTGCTCTTCAGTACTCTGGAATATCCCTGACAGCAGATTTTCCCAATGCAATTCGTCATTTGATTTCTTAGCTGCTGGTACTAAAAGTGTTGATTGTTGAGCCAAGCAAACTAAAGCTGTTAACAAGCACACTGTCTTCACCATCTATCATGATGCAGCTAATCAGCCCAGTGGTGAGAATCTTTATTTTCTTGATGTTGAGCTTCAATCCATATTGAAGGCTGCAATCCTTGACCCTCAGGGGCCACCTGCTTAACTTCTAGGAGTGTGGGCAGAGTTACCTGTGTTGGGAAAGGCCACAGTGGAGTCTCCCACAGTTGCCCTGAGATTATGTGGTGAATTATGTTGATTGATTTTCTTATGTTGAACCATCCTTGCATACCTGTTATGAATCCTACTTGGTCATAATTCTTTCTTATGTAGTTTTGGATTATATTGGCTAGGATTTTGTTAAGGATTTTTGCACCTATATTCCTGAGAGATACTGGTGTGTAGTTTCCTTTCTTGGGAATATTGCTGCCTGGTTTTATTATTAGGGTTATGCTTGCTTCATAGAGTCACTCTGGGAGTGTCTGTTCTTTTTCTATTACTTGAAATACTTGAAGGATGCTCCTTTGCTTAACCCACATCAGCAAGCACTCGAGTAGATCCAGCTCAGAGAGTCCCATGAATGTCAAAGTAGAGCCATGTTCCCCAGGGTTTGCAGTGGCTGATTTCTCAGGATTAGACCACCAGGTCTTTGTTCTGAAGTGCTGCTGGTGGGCTCAGTTAGCAGCTGAAACTAGGTTTCTCAGCCCGTACACTTTCTAACTATGCTACAATCTGGTTAGCTCCCTCTTGCCTCCAGGCCTCAGCAGCTCCCATTCTGGGCTCTTCCTTCAGGTGACTGTAAGATGGGCTCCTTCACCTCAGTCAGACAAATAGCTCCTTTAAAGACACATTTGTATTGGTCACTCTCCCTAACCCTGTAGTCCTCAAGCCTCATTTCCTGTCCCTCATTCTGTATTTTCCTCCTTGTTAGTTAGCACTGACTACGCTATATACCAGAGTGTCCTACACGTGAGGTAGGTTGTTGTTAGGTGCACAGGGGACCAGGGGGCTATCTCCCACAGAGCTAGTCTGTGAGGTGGACTGTGGACATTTTGCTCACTAGCCGAGTGCTTAACCACTGCACAACCACGGCTCCTATACTCTTTATTTAGTCATCTCTTTTACTATTCTCTCCTACCTTCAGTTAGAGTACGCATATATGTTTGTAAATGCACGTTTCCGTATGTGTATTGTCACACTTATGTATACCACAACAGCAGATACCACTGTTCTTCACTTGTCTAACACAGAGCAGTAGCTTCACAAATATGTGTTAAATACAAGAAGGACCAAATGCCTTTGTCAACTGCCATTTGGGATTGGGTCCAATTCTAGATGGTGATGGTGCTCAGTGGTAACTGGAAAGGGTTGGGATGGCCTGACCCTGTGGCTTTCCTGGAAATGGTGACACTTGGGCAGCACACACCCTCGGCACAGCCCTGGTAATCATTCGACAAGACTCTGCCCAGAGATCTACCATTGACTGAGCAAAAGCAGGGCTCTTCACGGCCACAGCGCCACCTCCACACGACAAGACGTGGATGCACCACCTTTCTTGCAGATACTCGGTGTCTTCCTCAAGAGGCCACTTCTGTCTGATGGCAGACTTACTCTGGGATTACCAGACCAGAATATGAGAGCAACTGAGGAGATGATAACACCTTCTGACCACCAGATGTCTGCACTGCATTTGAACCATGAAACTCCAGGTGAAGAGTCTAAAGCCTTTTCCTGATCCGTGCCTCCTCCCTCACTATCAATTATTTAACATCACTCGTATTCTTAATACACGTCAGACCAGTTGGAGGCACAATAAGATGACAGGTCTGATGGCTTCATCAGTAATTTCATTTTAAAGCTTGCTTATTGAATACATTTGACTCCCCTGGGAAGCAAAATGGCACCCTTTCTGTTTTGTTTGAAAATTCTTTTTAAAAGAAAAAGCTTCCACAGCTCAATAATAAAATCCAAACATTATTTTGATTGCACACTTTATACTGGAGCCATATGATTGTGTGAATGTAGCAACAATATTAGAAAGAGGAATGGACAGATGAGCTGAGACATGTAAACATTCCCACTCATAAAACAGAAATTGAAATTTTTAACATTGAGTAAAACATTCCTACAGCCAAAGACAAATGATTAATGACATGTCCTGCATTAGGATCACTGTCCATTTTGTTTACAATACATTGTTCCCTGAAAGGAGATAGGTCCTGATTAGTAAGAGAACAACCTGATTAATCTCTATCTACAAGATGAGATCTGATGATAAACTGTGCTGAAGACAGAATGAATTTAGAAAGCCTTCGGACACATTTGGAAAAAGAAATATAAAGATAATTTTTATACCTGGTCAAATTACACCCTTCAGCTGTCACAGACTGAGCTAACCACCAATGCAATATAGAAGTCAGTGTGTCCCACAGAGATTTTGAAATAACAATGAGGTAGAAACATAACTAAATTATAGAAATGAATATGACTCGAGAGGTTCCAATTCTATATGTTCTGTAGCAAAACTAAACACTTTTGTCACTCTAGATTTAATGAGCACTATTTTTGGTATAGTCATGCTGCACCCACCTAACTTTTTTGATGTTTCCTGTATCATTTTTTTAACTCATATTTTAAAATCATATTTGCTAAAGTGGAAGCCAATGAAAATATAGAAACCTTTTTTTTTATTTTTGAAAATATAGAAACCTTTAATGACAAAGCCTCAACACTTAACAGGCTCAACAAAAGACTCAAGTATGCCAAAGACCAGGACCGTGTCACAGGACTAGGCAATGTCATATGCAAAAGATTTACAGCAGCTGGTGCCAACTTGACCGCAGCCAACAACAAATTTAACAACTGTGTTGAGAGATGGTCTCAAGTAACTAAAACTAAAGCCTTCTCTCCTAACATTAAGTGGTGCTTGAAGCACAGTATCTTGAGGAGAGATTCAACAGACGCTTGATAATGGGATAATCTACATCAAAGTTTAAGAAAATCCATTTAACCACCTTCTGAGGTGTCTTGAATACAAAAATCCCTCGGATCTCTGATAGCATAAATTTACACAGTAACTTGAAACCTGTGACTTCAGCACAGTTGGATGACAGGAACAGCGAAGCCACCTGTGGGGTAACCACAAACAAGGTCCCATGTTAGACATGTCACAAAGCCAGGAGCAAAGCTGACCTCTGCAGGGCCCACGTGTCCCTGGGGTGGGAAGGGCACTGACCTGTGGCAGGCCAGACGTGTCTGTGAGCCCGGAGGGCCACTAACCACTAGGGAAGCAGAAGCGCTTCTCAGGCCTGGGAAGGAGACTGACCTCTGGAGGAGCGGAAGTGTTTGCTGGGGGCAGTGAAGCCGCGAGTCCCATGGACATTGACAGCAGCCACTCGGAACTGGTACCACCTACTGGGTCTGATGTCGGCCAGTTGGACCCGCTCATCTGTGGTCTGTGGGAAAATGGCAAAGGGCAACCTTTTATTCACATATTCCCATCAGGTCTGTGTAAAAACAGGTGTTAAGCCTGCCCAACCCAACTCAGCCATGACCACCACCTGGGCCTCTGGAGAAGTATGTCCATGAATACCAGGCACTAGCGGCGTTCAGGAAGGCAAGGCAAGCTAGGATAATTCCAAACACCTCACTTAGTTCTTAGACACTTCAACATCTCTGGAGGTCAAAATCTTGGCATATAATTGGGTTCTTTGGAATTTCAAGCACATGGAAAAATTCAGCCAAGTATATGCCATGTGGTGACTAAATACAGCACTTAAGGAATTGAATAAAGACTACATAAAGAAGCCAACCAGTTGCTCTAGAGTCAACTGAGGTTCATGGCGGCCTTGTAGTATTGGCGTTGAACTGTGCTCCTCCATTTCAATGGCTAATGTCTCCGAGGTAGATCCCCAGGGCCCTTCTTTTTTTTTTTTTAATTTCTTTATTTTTCATTTCAATGAACATCTACAGAGATTTTGGAATTCCATTCATTCATTGTTGCACCCTTCTCCCCGCTCCCCCACCCCCCGTTTGCTCCTCTCCTTCAAATGCAAAAGAAAAACTCCCTCATTGGTACGCAATCCCCGAACCCCCAAATATAATCCACTCTGCAACCCTCATTCCGTACTCTTAGAATAAACATAATGCCCTAAAATATTCTCTCCCCCAAAGACTTCAATGCCGTAATCATATTTCATCCAGTTTTTCTCAGCCTTACCTCCATCCCGATGTCAGCCTCATTCTACAACAGTGGCACCATATAGCATTTGTCCCTTTGTGACTGAGATACCTCACTCAGCATAATGTC